GAAATAATTAAATGGCATTCACCTCGATTTAAACGTGAGCAGAATTAAACCCAAGTGGGCTACGTGTGCTAAGCACTAAGAAAGTTCACACCAGCCAGCCCCAGATTCTATTTTATCTACTTGCAACTATTAGATTTTATTTTGTTTGAACTAATGATAGATCAGTCTAGATAGAAGTACGTGAAAGACAATGCTGTAAAAACAGTTCTTCCAGCAAGCAGAGAATAAAGACAGCTCAGTCCTGAGCCTGAGAAGCTTTCAAAATATTGGTAACTTTGCTTGAATGAAATACAGTGAGAAGTTTTTAAAACATCATGTAGTTAAACTTCTTTCATACAATCTTTATTTTAGGCTGGGCAAGACTCACAAATTGCAATTTTTCTGAAAAAGAGAGGGGAAAATGTGCTACGTGGAATATGGATACAGAGAAGTTATGTCCTATATACTGTGTAGTGTAGGAAAAACCTGTGTAGGAGGATTGGGGATGGAGGGGATTGGGAAGAAGGCTTTCTATAAATAAATCAGTTTGTATACTACAGAGTTTCACAGAGGCAGGTTAAACTTCTGCATACTTGATTGTAACTGTACTTGTAAGAGTTCCTGAAAGTAAGACTTTTTCCATTGTCTCTGAAATCTACAAGTTACCTCCTTGGTTAGGGACAGACATTCAAAAAGCCAGAGCCTGAATTAGTTCAACCTTTGCAGCTTAGTTCAACCTGCCTAGGCTGAAACAGTTTGTAACAGGACAAATATTCTCCCTGAACTAAGGCAATGCAGGCACATGCCTGAAGTTGCTTAGGCCAGAAGCAGGGGTGTGCTAGAGTAGGCCCTCAGCTGCAGGGTAGCTGTGCTGGTGGGGAAGTAGCCAGTCCAGGCTGATCTGGCCAGAGTGGGGTTTAATTCCTCCCTCTCTATCCCACCAGCAGGGACCCAAGCAGGGTCTGCCAAGCACTCCCCCCTCACTGCTGCAGCAGCAGGGCACCATGGACCCTGAGGCAGACGGGGGCAGGGAGGAGAGTTAGTCTCCCCTCTACCCTCACTGGCAGCCAGGTCTGCCCACCGTTGCCACCGCGCTCCCTGCCTCAGAATAGGCCCCGTGCTGTTCCCTCCACTGGACAATGGAGGGAGGAGGAATAACTTATGTCCCTGCCCCTCAATCCAAAGGGACCCTGCTGGCCAGCATCTGGCCGTAACCCAACCCCAACGCTGCAGTGGGAGGAGGCAGGGCCCTTGTTGGGGGCAGTAGTCCCAGCGGGGGCACTGCACTGAGGGGCTGGCAGAGCTGTGGTGGGCTGCGTGCAGCAGCACCGGGGTCTGAAGCGGGCCAAAGCCCTGCAAGCCCCCCGCAGCACTGCCATGCTCTGCAGCAGCTCTGCCAGCCCCATAGAGCAGCCCCTGCCAGAAAGGAGCTCATGTTTCAGGAAGCCATGACAGGCTGCTGTCCATCATGGTCACTTATCACTTGCCACTCCAGCTGCCAGGCAGGGGCAGGGCTGCTCAGTCTGTGCTTTGACCCCCCTCTAAGACTGAGGGGGATTATTCAGCTGCTGGCCCCAAGCAAAGGCCAAGCAGTGGCTGCAGCCAGGCCAGGTAGACCCCACTGCAGTGCCAGTGGCTGAATAAGATCCCCCCTTCTGGGAGGGAGCTTGCCCCAAGCACAGAGAGGCCACTGGCACCACAGTGGGGTCTGCCAAGTATAGCTGCCACCACTTTGTGGTTGGGGACAGTGGCTGAATAAGCCCCCTCCTGCCAGGAGGGGGCTCGCTCCAAACACAGAGTAGTGGTGGCTGGGCTGGGCAGACCCCACTGCAGTGCCATGTGCTCAGCCACTGTCACCACAGCAGGGTCTGCCCAGCCCAGCCACCACTACAGAAGCCCATCATGGCTTCCCACAGTGCTAGCCCCTTCACAGCAGGGGCTGCTCTGCGGGGCCAGCAGAGCTGCTGCAGAGTACAGCAGTGCTCTGGGGGTCTTGCAGGGCTCTGGCCCATCCCAGACCCCTGTGCTGCCATGCACAGCCCATTGCAGCTCTGCTGGCCCCGCAGTGCAGCGCCCCCGCCAGGAAGGGTCTTATACTCCCCCACATTATGACAGGGGCTGCTGCCCCCAAGGGCCCCATCCCTTCTTGCTGCAGCAGCAGGAAGGGAGCATGGCCAGGCAGGGTCCCTGGGGAGGGACAGTGAGAGCGGTGGCAAGGGCGGGCAGACCCAACTGCCTGTGGGGGTAGAGGGGAGACTAACTGTCCTCCCTGCCCCACTCTGCCTCAGAGGCCATGGTGCCCTTCTGCTGCAGCAGTGAGGGGGAGTGCCTGGCAGACCCTGCTTGGGTCCCTGCCGGTGGGATAGAAAGGGGGGAACTAAATTCTGCCCTGGCCAAACCCCCACCCCTGCCTGTCCTTGCTCTGGCTGGAAAGCAGAGACGTGGGGACAGCCTGGCTGGGCTGGAGCAGAGAGCCCAGCCCCAAGAGCATGCTGGAATGCTAGGGTTTCTGGTTTAATTTAAACCAGCAAGGGCCTGGGACAGACATTGCATAAACTGGTTTGAGCCAAATCAGTTACTATATTCAATCAGGGTTATGTCAAACCGGTTTTAGCCATTTTGAAACTGGTTTATGTGCACTGAATATCTGTTCTGTTACAGGTTTAAACCAGTTTCTGATCACTTAAATTGGTTTATGTGTAATGTCCTTGACTTTAACTGGAGTTGGACAAAGCTCATGAAATTCTACAGGGAATACCCTTAAAGGTTAGAACTTTATTATAAGTCAGATGTAGGCCTGCTTTCATAGACATTCAACCTTTTCTGTTAGCAATTCTACACTGTGAAATGACCTCAACCAAATCTTGCAAAAGGGGGCTCATTTTGGTTAAAGCTCATTTTGGACCTCAACCTCTGGCCTGTGGCCCAGATCCAGCCTTCACAGAAGTGTCTTCTGTGGCGGGCCAGTAGGGGGGGCTTAGCGCAGGAGCATTTCTTACCTTAAAGCAAATAGTGGCATTGTAGCCTTTGATCATGCATCTGAGTTACTGCAAGCTACATATCTAGTTACATCTCAAGCAGCTTATTCACAAGTATCATCCAGAGGCAGGTGGAGATTCCCTCTGGAGGCAAGCAGATCATAGAACATGAGTTTCAAGAGAAAGAGTGAGTTTCAGATGATCCCGCTTCTCTGAGAGTTCTCATCATGGCTGCTGCTCCACCTCCTGGGCAGTCCTTAACTTATATAGACTTTATGACCTCATTTACTTGATCCAATGAAGGACAGTAGCTGTTGGCTGCCAGCCAACCAATTTGAAATACATCACTGGTTGCCGGGTAAACTGGCAGGGTCTCTAGCCCCCACCCAGGTGTGTGAGACCAGTCACATAGGCAGAGGGAGCAGGTTTCCCCCTCCCTCAGGAATGTATCCATCTCAGGTTACAACTCATGGTTACCTGAAGCTGATGGGACCAGGCATGTCTGCTCTCTGCAGTGACCATGGTCACCGAGTTGTCCTATTGGTCAGCCACCTGATAGCAGAGTTTGGGGAGAAACAGAGATGGCATTCTGCCACATCATCCAGCCAACAGGGCTCCCCAGTGGTCTGGAAATTTGGCAGCAGGAAAGCAGTTCAGCCTCAATTGCTATTTCCCTATTGCTAAACTTCCAGACCTGTGAGGAGCCCTGCAGACCAGGTAACATGATCCTGTTCACCAAATGCTGGCATGTGATCAGGCTGGCACTGTGTTGCTCTGTGGCTGGATCCAAGCACACAGGATTCAGGCTGCTGCAGAGCCAGATCCAGCATGCAGCTATATCTGGGGTGCAGAGTAGGAATGGAACACAGCCAGATCTGGCATGCTGAGATCACACCCAAGTCGCATGCAAGATTCGACCCACAGACCAACTGCCCACCATTTGCCTGGCCCATGAGGCTGGAAGTTTTGACACTACTGGGTTAAAGTAACAAAATCTGTCAACACTTTTAGGTCACAGAAAATATACAGTGGGCAAGTTTTGAAGTCAATTGAACTGAATGGAAAATATATTATTGGCTTCAGGAGACACTTCAAATCAGGATCCTTACTGGTTTAAAGTGTGTTTGGCAGGAGGAGACAAGTTAGGATTTGTATAGTAGTCTATTCTCCTATTTTCATCGACAGCAGGATTCAAAAAGGATTTAATTTGTATATGAATAATAAGAACACATAGATTTAATAGTACACAGTGCAAGATCATGCCATAGGGACTAACCTTAAGAATTTTTTCTTTAAGGCTCATTAGTTGGAAGCAACAGAGGAAGCAAAATCATGGGATCATTAGCTAATCATAGGTAGCCTACCACTGGATACAGCAAAGGAAAAGACAAATGCACTCTTAGGATGTATTGAGTAACATGCTTCCAACTCAGATAGAAGTGTATTGCTGCCATCTGTCAAGAAGATTCAGTCCTTGGGCCTATGCTGTTCAATATCTTCATCAGCGACTTGGACGAGGGGGTGAATAGCACCTTGTTTAAATTCGCAGATGTCACCAAGATGTGGGGGGAGGTGGGCATGCTAGAGGGGAGGGACAAGCTGCAATCAGATCAGGACAGGTTACAGAGGTGGGAGGATAAGAATAGGATGGGTTTCAACACTGATAAGTGCAAGGTACTGCACCTGGGAAGGAAGAACCAGCAGCACACCTACAGGTTGGGGAACTCCCCTCTCACCAGCACAGAGGCAGAAAAGGATCTTGGAGTCATTATTGACTCAAAGATGAACATGGGCCGCCAATATGGGGATGCAGTCAGAAAGGCTAGCCACACCTTGTCAGACATCCACAGATGCATCACGGGCAGGTCCAAGGAGGTGATCCTCCCCCTCTATGCGACCTTGGTCAGGCCCCAGTTGGAGTACTGCGTCCAGTTCTGGGTGCCGCACTTCAGGAGGGATGCGGACAACATCGAGAGGGTCCAAAGGAGGGCCACTTGCATGATGAGGGGGCAGCAGGGCAGGTCCTATGAGGATAGGCTACGGGATCTGAACCTGTTCAGCCTTTACCAGAGGCGGCTGAGAGGGGATCTGGTGGCCATCTGTAAACTGGCCAGGGGAGACCAGCAGGCAATGGGAGAGTCCCTGTTCCCCTGAGCAATACCGGGAGTAAAAAGGAACAACGGCTATAAGCTGACAGAGAGCAGATTCAGACTGGATATCAGGAGGCACTACTTCATAGTCAGGGCAGCTAGGATCTGGAACCAACTTCCAAGGGAAGTGGTCCTCGCTCCTACCCTGGGGGTCTTTAAGAGGAGGCTAGATAGACACGTTGCTGGGATTGTCTGACCCCAACATTCTTTCCTGCCATGGCAGGGGGTCGGACTTGATGAGGTCCCTTCCGACACTACTAACTATGAAACTGGTGAGACTTTGTCTGGAATAATGTGCACAATTATGGTCATCCATTTTTGAAAAAAGGTAAACTCAAACTGCAGCACATGCAGAGAAGGGCAGAAAGGTAATTAGGGTAATAGAAACCTTATTTTATGAGAAGAGACTAAAACAGCCCAGTAAGGCAAAACTGAGAGGAGATGCATTTGCACTCTATTAATAAATTGTAGAAGCCATTGGGGAATATGGATAGAGAAATACAATTTAAGCTCAGGGGCAATTCTGACATAACAACAAATGGGAATATGGCATGAATAAATTCAGAGCGAGGAACTGGCAGGAGATCTCTGACTCCCCAAAGAGTGAGATTATGAAAGAGCCTCCCAAGAGGCTCTCCCAGGCAGGGCATACAACCCAAGTGGTGACAAGATGGAGCCTGACATCTTTTATGAAAGGAATTATAGATGGATTCCTGCAATAAGATAAATATTTAGAAACCGTATCTATCCTCATATATAAAGCTATATCTAGGGAATGGAGGAAGCCTTCTCTTTGGGCAGATTCTTTCATAATTGTTCATCTTGGACATTCGTCTCAATTATCTGGAACTAGTCACTGCTGGAGACAGTGGGAACAAAAGGACCACTGCTTAGATCCAATGTGGAGGGTCCTACATCACAAGGGACATAGCTTCCACATCCATCAATACTTTGTGCTTATTGGCAGCAATTTCACCTGTAAAAGTCGGCTTGGGAGAAATGAGGTCGGGTGGGCTTAGGAAAGCACTTTGCTTCCGCACAAGATCCATTGGAGGGATATTCTTAGCCAATCTAGTGCTCAAACTTGCCCATGTTAATCACAGGACATTAATACCACAGCAAGTGGATGCAATTTAAAACACAATTTCATCTTCTAGTGATAATCTGTACATTAGGCCACTGCAATACTGACCTGATAATGCTACTATTTTTGGCACCTAGATGAGCCCTTTAATGAGAACAACAAACAATTCATTTCTTGAAATATTTCAAGCACAGATCTCATTTTGAGGGAGTAAATCTCTCCCACACACTTTCCCCATGAAGTATTCAGCTTCAGTCTGCAGTTTGTTCTCTCAGTAGCTTTAGCTGAATCATAATTGTCTGCAAAGAGACAAAACCATGTACCCAGCAGCAGGTGCAAACCAAGCCTAAAGATTTCTGTTTGTTTCTTACAAGCCATAATTCTGGAGCAGCATTTCCAATCACATACCCAAAGAGTATCAGCAGGAGAGCAGTGGCTGCCAAGTTCTGTCGAAAAGTGAAGGCGGATAGCTGGAAGGCAGTAATAACACCAATGCACAGGATAACTGGAACCAAGTAAAACAGCTAGAAAAAAGAAGAACAGGGGTAGTGCAGGTGAGCATCTCCTATTGGTCTTAACCCATTAACACAGAAGTGTCTGTACAATTGGTAGCAACTCTATGCTCCCCAGATAATTATATTGCCTATCAGAAATGTGCCAACAGTAGAGATATAGGCTCAGTGGTGGTTCTCCCCTGGGGTAGCTGGGGCACTGCCCTACTCAAAAACCGTGAGGCAACAGAATCCAAGTACCACATATTACCTTTATCTTAATCCTATCTGCCATTCCCATGTCACTATAACAGGCTAGCTGTTCCAGATAATAAGCCCTTGTGGGACTCTTGATCCAATGCACCAAGCTATATCATACTTGCACCAGTATGGGGTGCACATGGAGCAGGACAGGGTTTCACTGAACACTCCTGGAGTCACAGCAAAACAGTGAGACAGCCTGAAAAGCAACTCTAACAAATGGGAATGTGTTCAGTTAGAATGTTTCCCCTCACCTTTCAGTTGGAGCAGACTCTTGCATTTACACACAGCAGTAATGGTTTTACTAGACAACAAGGAACATAAACCTCTCCTGGACACACATTCCTGGTGACCATTAACAAGACAGCTAGCTTGAGGAATGGGTGAGGCACAGCAGCATAGGACTGAAAAACAGCACACCTGGATCCTGCTCTGACAGTTTGGCCACTGATGTGATGTGTGACCTCAAGGAAGTCCCTTATCTTCTCTGCTTCCATTGCCACAATTCCATTGCCGTTTTTTCTTCAAGCCAATGGACCTCTATTTCTCATTATGGGTTGTACAGAACAAGGCACCCTGAGACCAAGAGGAGCCACCATAATACAAATAATTATTAATATTAATAGTTTATTCAAATGCCAAGGGGCTGGTAAAGGGATCCTATGAACTATATCATACTTACTGCAGAGTACTAGCTCCCAGATATTTAGCAACACAAGTATTGCCACCTTCTAGGACAGGGGTAGGCAACGTTTTTTGGCCAGAGTGCCGAAAAAACCACAATATGTCTACCTTGGAAGGTACCAGAGTGCCGGCATACCAGAAAAACAAAATGAGGGCGGAGGGGAAAGACATGGCAGTACGCACTGCATATTAGTATATTTAATAATCCTAAATGTTGCCTTTGTTGTTGTGTATTCCTTTTTGTTGAGTACATTGCAATGAGAGAGAGAAAAAAAAAGAGACAAATAAGAGAAAGAGGAGACAGAGACAGGAGAGCAGAGAGAGAACCACACACACACACGCACACAAAGAACCACATGCACAAACACAGAGAACCAGAACACACCCGGAACAGACACATGCATACACACATTCAGAACCAGACATGTGTGCACACACAGAACCAGACAGGCAGACAAACACACAGAACCAGACAGGCAGACAAACACACAGAACCAGATGCGCGGGTGCATGGAGCCGGGCTCCTGGGCCACTGGACAAAGTCCAACCCAACAATGCCCTGGTCCTGCCAGATTCCCTGTGCTTCCCCAGGGAGCCAGCCCCCAGGCTGCAGCATAGCTGGCTGAGGCCACTGCCTGTAGCCTGCCCATCAGCCCAACCACCCACCCACCCCACACAGCTAAGCCCACAAAAGGTATGGTGCTCCTGGCAAGGGGCAGTGCCAGCCTCACCTTGGTGGGGGGCTGGGCTGGGGCTGGGCTCAGAGCAGGTGGGAGTCAGGTGGGCTCAGCTGTAAGCCCTGCTGCAAGCAGCCTGGGCTCTGTGGTTGGCAGCAGCTACTAGAGCCCGGGCT